TGGAAAATGATTACACATTTATCAATATTAAATCAAAGCTGGATTTTTGTTGTTGTTGTTGTTGTTGAGATAGAGTCTCACTCTGTCACCCAGACTGGAGTGCAGTGGCGCAATCTCGGCTCACTGCAAGCTCCGCTTCCCGGGTTCACGCCATTCTCCCGTCTCAGCCTCCGGAGTAGCTGGGACTGCAGGCGCCCGCCACCACGCCCGGCTAATTTCTTTTCTTTCTTTTTTTTTTTTTTTTTAGTAGAGACGGGGTTTCACCATGTTAGCCAGGATGGTCTCGATCTCTTGACCTCGTGATCTGCCTGCCTCGACCTCCCAAAGTGCTGGGATTACAGACTTGAGCCACTATGCCCAGCCCAAAGCTGGATTTTAAAGGTGGCATGTGTCTTCTCTTTTTAATTGTTTTGCTTGGATTTGTTTTTTTGTTTGTTTGTTTTGTTTTTTTTTATTAGCTAACTTTTTCAAGAAATGGTAACCTTCTAGAGAAACACTATTAGTTTGATGAGTCTCAAAATTAACTTCCACGTGAGGCCTCTTCCCTGAATTTTAGAATGAGTGTTAAATGCTAGCACAACAGGTAAGTGGATACAGCCCACTGACCTTGGAAACTCAACATGTCTAAAGCTGAACTCATCACTTTGCCTGCATGTCTGCTTTCCAGTGTTTTCTCCAACCCTTGGTAAAACCAACCTCTTGAGCACTCAGCCTAGTACCCTGGAAGTTGGCTTTGTTTTTCTATCTCCTTTGCCTTCTTTACATACAAGTCCACTAACAAGTTTTACTAAGTTTTTATTCTAAATATTTCCTAAAACCAAACTTTTCTTCTTATCTGTGCTATTACTCCCTAAATCCTTGCTCTCATTACCCTCACCAGGAATACGCACTTCTAACTGATCTCCCTACATTCAATATGTTTCCTTTTAAATACATTTTCAAATAGCTTCAAAAGTGTTCCATTAAAAATGCAGATCTTAAGATCTAACCTTCAAAATGCTTCTCTTATCCTATGAGATAAATACATAGTTTTTGTTATTGTCTTGCGTGTTTCTGCTGCTCCTTTTTTGACACTTCCCTTTCTAGAAACATCAAATTCCTTGTAATTTGTGGACCTCACACATGCTTTTGCTGAAGTCATGGTATTTCCATGGAGTGTTCTCCACTGTTAATTCCAACTCTCCACCTAACTAACCCTTACTTGACTCAGTTTAGGTCTCAGTCTTTGAAGACCTTTTTCTGTCCTGAGCTCCAAGATGCAATGAACATTATAGATTTTTTTATTGCTGTCATCATATTGCCTTAATAATTTCTCTACCTTTCCCATTTCTTATTTCTCTCATCACATGATCTTCATTATTTACTTACTTAAATCCTGGGAACTTCATAGGAAAGACATCTGTTGTATTTACAATTTTATCCACCCTATCAAGTACAGTATTTGAAACATAGTGGCCCCTTAATATATTTTTTGAATGAATGAATAAACTGAAACTCTGTATCTTCCAATAAATATTTCTGATACAGAATGGCTGTCTATAGGGATAACATTAATTAAAAATAATATAATCAAAGCCTCTAAACAATCAAAAATGAAAACTATAATTATTTTTCCATTTTGAACTTTATTTTAAATTTATTTTTAAAAATCTTACAAAAGCCTAGCTTTAGCTATGCATTGTAGGGTCACAAACTTTATCTTATTGAGTCAATGATTTAAAATTTTGTTATAAAAATGTATAATAAATATTATATTAATCTGAATAACTATTTTCATATCATTATTCTTTATCTTATTTAAGGAATTAAAACTCCCCAGAGTGAACTCCCCAGGGCTTTTTTATTTATAGCCCTGAGTAATTACAGTCCTCATGTTTCCTTCTTTGTTTGTTTCTTTTGCTCTGTGTTAGCCAATAGAATCTTATGTTTGAAACGTGGGTTTCTTCTGCAAGAACTGCTATCCTTTGCCATCTTCTGCTGCAAGTAGGAGGATACTCATTTTTTTTTTACGAATGCTGCATTGCATCTTAGTCTTTTAGATATCCTATATTTTTACAGTCCCAGATAATCAATAAGAAAGGAGGGAGTGAACTCCACTTTGGTCAAACTACTTCAGTAGGAACTGCACTGACATTTATAACTTAATTTTGATTAAAAAAAAAGTCAGCTAAAAGTTTGCTCTGCCAGTAATTTCAAAACTGCTAACCAACCAACTAACTAGACTAACAAATGATATGGTGGATCACATTTTTTATTTCTTTTATTTTTTACTGTAACTTACAATTCTTGCAGCAGAAGCAATAAAGTTTTACATAATTGCCAAAATCGAACAGCAGAGGGCAGAAAATAGCAAACTCTGTTTCTTGTAGCACACTATTCTAGTCAAATGTAGATTAGTTGTTGTGAAATTTTCAAAATTGATTAGTGATCAATTTGAGATACATATTCTTGAAATAGGTAGTTGCTACATGAAAAAATAGAGCTGTGTACATTCAAAAAATAAATTCCAGTATTTTTCCATGTATTTGTATAAATAACCATTTACTGTAGTCAATTTAAATTTATTACCCTTATATTGACAGGATTCTGTGTTTGAAACATACATGCTATTAAAACATTATAAGAAATTTGAAAAAGTCTCATGAGTGATCATATTAATAAAATTACACTGATATAGGAAATAAGTTTTCAAATATGTGAAAGGTCTATACATAACTACCTTGTGAACACAAGTACATAGACTAGCAGTTGAATTACAAGTCATGTTTGCTAAAATTTTTATTTCCATCTTATATATAAATTGTAATTGGCCACTAGACAGTAATATTTTTCTTGAGCTCTTACATATTAGTTACTATACTCTATGATTCAGCAAATTGTTATTTTTACAGCATTTGTTTTTTATAGAATGTAACGCAGTCAATTTTGAGTTCATATCTGCCCTTGACTTTGAAATAGGTTAAGATGAAAATAGTTTTAAAACATTCTTATTTTTAAAAATTCAATTTACCTCAACTCACATTTTAAACATCACATTTTTTCATATTCAAGCTTCGTGTGTCTCTGTCCTCACTGTCTTTAATTCTAAGTTACTTTCTATGAAATTAAAGTTTTCCTGTGGAAACAAATGAATCGAGAAAAAAAAGAAAATAACTACAGAAGTATTTTAAATTTTGCTCTGTTCTGTTATTAGTGCTTTTACATTAACAATTTTAAATAGGGAATAATTTCCAATCATTTTTTGTGCCTCACATCACAAATAATGTATGATTTATTTATTTTTTATGTTACAATTGTGAATATATGTAAGTTATATCTCATTTTTGTTTTTTATTGATTTATTGTAATTTTAATTAATTTTGTGTTATTTTTATTATTAATGTTTTAAAGGTTAAATGCATTTTTATTTAGAAGACCTGCTTTATATATAGTGTGAAGTACTTATACTAATAAATTCTAAGGGGTAAAATTAAGAGATATTTTAGCCTACAGTTTATAAGCTTAATAATACATTAAAGCTATTCTCACTTCATGGTTTAGGACTATATCAAAAAGAGGGAAAGGTCATAATTTGAAATGACAGCAATATAGGATCAAAGAGCCATAGAAGCCACTTTGCTCATCATCATTTTGAAAATGGGAAAATTGAGGCCAGTGTGATTAAGAAGCAAGCATAAGATAACGCAGTCAGCAATGAAGCTGCAAGCACAAGAAGGCAGCCTGATAGACTCATGGCATTTTGGAATACTAGCAGTTCTCTTTTTAGTACTGTAAGCTCCAATTTCCCTCTTCCTGGAAATAGTTCCTTGCTCTCAATCATTCTTTATTTGTTTAAACCACTAAAGACATAGAACTTGGTGGGGCTTTTCTGAGTCCGCAGAGGGAATTGTCAGAGCAGGTTCCCAGGAATGGGCTTGGAAAGTACCGTGAAGAGCATAAATTTCACACAGGAAGTCCAGTCGTCTATCTCCCCATCAATTCTCTTCCCTCAAACTTTTAATATCTAACCTCATCTTTGTTTCCCAGTGGCCCGTGTGTTCAGTGCAGCGAGGTAGCTTACTTTCTTTAGGCAGTGATTTTTGGAAACTCAGGGTCAAAACGCGATGGGGAAACAGATTTCTAAGTAAGTCTCTGGGAAAAAATCTGCATCTTTGCGGCCTTTCTAGACTAGCTTCATCTTCTAATCACTTTCCTCTAATAGCCTTTCGTTAAACCAGAGTCTCTTGCTTTCAATCTGTATAAAGCAAGGGCTTCTAGGAAACGAAGTCTACATGACTCTACAACGGGAGGGATTGCAGTGTAAGCTGCGAGAAAGACCTGTGCGCTCTGTGACTAGGCGAGTCAGCATCACAGCCCAATGGAAAATACTCTAAAGATGGGATTTTCATGCAAAATATTTAAAAGATTCCATCTTGATCTCCTGTGCGGCTTTAGCATTTAAAGATAGAACTTGGGGTTCTCCCCGGATCCTGGCTACATCCCATGAAGCCCAACTACACAATTTTGGAATATTTCCTCTACGGTGCTTTGCTTGCTTGTTTGCTTTCGGTTGGGTCAGGTGAGGTGGATGGCAGGGCTTCTCTATTGCTAAATGGGTTTTCACAGGAGATAGAAGATAAAAATCAAAATTATTTTTAACGTAAGACAGCAGGGCCTGGTGAGAGGACGCTTCGCCGCCAACAATGAGAAATTCGGCTTCTACACAGCAGCCAGAAATCAGTTTTGCTGCATTCGGTCCAGGTTGGAGCATCTCCGCAACAACTGCAATAGCCGCACAAAGGTAGCTCCGGGCGGGGAGCGACGCGCTGTCCTCGGTGCTGAAAGGCAGAGGCGAGCTGTGGGCGCTACAGCCCGGTAGACCCGAGGTCTTGCGGAGGGAGAGCGGCTACGGGCCCCGAGCTGTGCTTTCTCAGCGCCGCGCACGCGACGCGTCCACGGCGGTGCGGGGTGCCGGGCGCCGTGCGGGGGAGGGGGCGCGCGCGCCCGCCGCCTGCCGCGAGTCGCGCACGCGCGCCTGGGACTGCCTGCCCCTCTCTGTGACTTGCCTGTGTGTGTGCGTGTGTGTATGTGTGTGTGTGTGTGTGCGCGCGCGCGTGAGTGAGAGAGGAGAGAGGGAGAAGAGAGCGCGAGAGAGGGTGAGTGTGTGTGAGTGCATGGGAGGGTGCTGAATATTCCGAGACACTGGGACCACAGCGGCAGCTCCGCTGAAAACTGCATTCAGCCAGTCCTCCGGACTTCTAGAGCGGGGACAGGGCGCAGGGCATCAGCAGCCACCAGCAGGACCTGGGAAATAGGGATTCTTCTGCCTCCACTTCAGGTTTTAGCAGCTTGGTGCTAAATTGCTGTCTCAAAATGCAGAGGATCTAATTTGCAGAGGAAAACAGCCAAAGAAGGAAGAGGAGGAAAAGGAAAAAAAAAAGGGGGTATATTGTGGATGCTCTACTTTTCTTGGAAATGCAAAAGATTATGCATATTTCTGTCCTCCTTTCTCCGGTTTTATGGGGACTGATTTTTGGTGTCTCTTCTAACAGCATACAGATAGGTAGGTACCCTTTGTGCTATGCTTTTGAATTGTGCATAATTTGGTGGTAATCTTTGTTCACAGTGTACAAATTAATTCATGTCATGTAGACTTATGTCATACCTTGACTGCATTCCAGATTTAAACTACCTAGAATATACATGTTTTTCTTAGGATGAAGCAAAAGGAAATGAGTATGGCTTTGATACAATAGAAGAAAAGGTCCTCTCATTTCGGATCCCCAAATTTTATTAATTCTGCCTTAGCGACATTTTCCAGTTTGCTCAGATTTTCTTGGGGTCTGAATACAAAGCTTGTGATTACATGGAAAGGCGAAGGTTTCTGGCCACCTACCTCGTCTTCAGACTCTCATCTGGGTCTTGACCTCTTGGCTACCTTTTGGATATTCCACCCCCGCTGTCCGAGTCCCTAGATGTGTTTATTCGGCCCATTAGCGTGAATAAGAGACTCTTGGACTGTTGGGTGCTAGCGGGCGCCCCTCCTTTCCCTCCCGGGCACTGACACTGTTCTCTTGCTTGCTGTTTGTTCTTTGCAGGGGGGCTATTTCCTAGGGGCGCCGATCAAGAATACAGTGCATTTCGGGTAGGGATGGTTCAGTTTTCCACTTCGGAGTTCAGACTGACACCTCACATCGACAATTTGGAGGTGGCAAACAGCTTCGCAGTCACCAATGCTTGTAAGTAATGAATATTCATGCCTTTCCGCTGCTGCACGCGGAAGGCTAGCGAGTGTGAGTGTGTCTGTGTGCGTTTCTGGGGTGGTGTGTGCGTTTCTGTGTGCCAATGTGTGGGTGTGAGTGACTGCACACGCGCGTGCGTGTGACGGTGTAGAGAGAAGGTGGCTGTAATCTTGGGGACCCCCGCTGGCTGGAGGGGGCTGAAGAGAGAGGGAAAGGACTTGAAGAGTGTGCGCATTAGGGAGCTGGGGTGAGGGTTGGAGTCAGGGAGGGCGGCTTTCTTGGGTTCAAGGGGTTTTCGCTCATCTTGAGTGGTTCAGGGGAAGCCCTCCCACCTCGCTCCCCATCGCGCGCCTGTTGGCACCCTGCCCACAGAGAACACGTTCCCCAAGGCGCGCAGTCGGGCTGTTGGACAAATCCCACGGGGGACTGCTGGAGCCCGGTGACCTCCTGCCCCAGCAGCTGCAGCTCGCCCTCGTGGCCCCCAGTTTAGATCCGCAGTCCCGGCTGGGCTCACCCTACCGCCCTCGCGAGCTCCACGTTCTCCTCTTTGGGACAAGTTGTTGAAATGGTTCTGGAGTTGGGATCGGGGCTGTTACATAAGGCCCACCCGAGGGGCGAGGAGCGGGGCTGACGCAGGCCCAGGCCCGCCGGGTGGCGTGGGGGTGGGGCGGGGAGGCGGTGGCAAGGGGGGAGCGCAGTCAATTTCTCCTGCTCAGTTGCGCTTCCGCTTAAGTTGGAAGGGGCGAGGCCGCCAGGGGCGCCGCGGTCAGCTTGCCAGCCGGGCGCGCTTTGTTCTCAGGTAGCTGGGCCCCAGCAGAGGCAGCCGGGGGAAAGGACTGGAAAGCTGTGGGATCCTGCCGAGTTTGAAAATCTGAAGAAGTCGCCGATCAGCCATTTTAGTATTTGCAGTGCTCCATAATAGCCCTTTCCCTCCACGCAGTGCTCAGGGACTCTCTGGAAAGCTCTGTGATGGATTCAAATAAAGTACCAGAAACCAAACAATTAGGGATCTAAAAGGATTGGTGGGGAGGCCAGAGGGCCCGGTCCCCTCGCTCGCTCCCCAGCGCAGGCTTGGGCAGGCAGTCGCGGCCACTGTGCCTTCCTGCCCTCTTCCCAGCAGCTGCCATCATTTCCTGCCGCCCGCCCTGAGGTGATTCTTTCCTGTCCTAATATTCGCAGTCTTTATTTCATAGATAACAATTTGGGGGAGATTTGCGGATGGCTCACTTCCCACTTTGGCTAGGGAGCTTGGGGAAAATTACCACAGGAAAAGCCCAACTGCAGCTTTCCCACGTCACACAAACAACTGGTTGCCATCCCTCCTCCCCATTTTAAGCTTTAATCATATATTCCATGATTTAGCTGGACTGTCATATCGGGCCCATTATCAACTCTTGCAACTACTGTCACCCAGACTAATGAAGAAACAATTTTCTTAGAATGATAGAATAGGGGCATTGTGTGGTAATTTGGGATTTAATTGTTTATAATGGATCTATTTAAGAAGGTTTCACTGCTATATATTTTCTTCAAATGTTGACGGCAAGTGAGAAAAGAAAGAAGAGCGGGTATAGGGGTACAGAACCAGAGAGAGAAGAGGAGAATTGAAGTGGATTTGCAGCTTTGAAAAACGCCTGTAATAGAATATCTCAGAAAATTTTAGTACATGACATACAAAGAAATTGACTTAATTAAAATTTGAAGGCTTCTATATTTGACCTATTTACCTAACAGATTTAGACTATTCATTTGATATCAGTAAGTTCCAATTTTTCTTGAATTATAAGTTTATCATGCAACTGTTCTGAGTATCTAACTGTATATAATTGTATACTTAACACGTGAAAATGCTTTGAAAAGTAATGAATCCTAAGGAACGACTGTGGGTATAGGAAGGACATAGGTTTTAAATGTGAAGTGAAAGTATTGACAGCTATACTTTTTGAAAACAATCAGTGATTGGCAAGTTCACTCATTGGTGAAAATAATGAGGACTTTCTGAAAAAAATAACATGTCCATTGACAAAATGAATATTCCTTGATTTCAACAAATGCTAAACTACTGTATTGGGGCTTTGTAAAGATAAAAGACTGTGGTTAGTTTAGGTTATTAGGTTTAGATACTCATTCTTAACATTTTTGAATTTTTTAATAGAATTTTTTCCGAAATAAAATATATAGCCAGAATATGTGTGTGTATATATATTAAACACATATGTAAATTCATACATTTGCAGAGTGAACACATTCATGTAATCAACATGTGGATTTCTTTTAAAAAATTACCACGCAATTTAATTTGTCTACAGTTCTGAGAAGCTGGAATAATCAAGTCTTCATTTGCACAGTTTTTTCCCCTCCTCAGGAAGTGAAGCTAAAATAAATATGTTCAAATTCCAGAGCCTAAAATTACTCCTGCACGGATTATTATAGTAGGATAGTAAAACAAACTATTTTCAGGAACTGAACACATTTTGAAGATGACAACTTGGGAATTCAAAATCATGACATTTGCAGCTCTCATGTTATAAGTAATCCTACTGATTGCAAAAAAGAACTAGGGGGGTACTGTGATAGAAGAGAGGCTCATTGGACAGAAATTTCTGGAGCTGACATTAACTCGTTGGGCAAATCACTTAACATGTTTGTGACTCCATTTCTTTATTCTCTGCGACATTTCAAAATTTAGAGATTGCAAAATGAAATAGAGAATTTGTATCTTTTTTGTTTGTTTGTTTGTTTTTGTGTTATGGACAATAGAAAACGTAAAATTAGTTTAGCTCTTTTGAGACAGAATGAGAGAGAGGGAAAGGGAGAGATGCTTATGTAAACTGCAATCACAAAGTCAAGAAATGGATGAAAATCTCCAGTGTCAAATTTGTCAAGATGGGTCTTGATCATTTAAATCCTGCTTAAGGTTTTTCTCCAATGCTTATCCTTTGTTTTATTGCCTTTTTATTCAGGGAAGTCTGTGATTCTTTCCTTTATAAAGTGGAAGCAACAGCATTAAATACATTGACAGCTAAGATCTAAACATCTTTTTCCCATTTCCTCTAGAAATCTCAGGAATTTTGCGAATGACATTATTAGATGATAGATATCATCATGCAATGCTCTTGAAATAGCTTGCTCTTCCAATCATAAAAATCCCACAGAGCTAAATTTACATATTAAAAAGTGGATTTTTATACCTTAGTCATATAATTTCAAAAGGGAAAAGTTATTAGTTTACTAATGTAATTTTATTCCTGAGATGGAGGAAATTATTTGGAAATGTTGAAGTTGATGTTGATATAAGGATCCAGGGAGATTCACTGAATGGGTTAAGGTTATACAAAGAAAATGAAGTCATTCTATTCTGAACTGGGTAAAATGACTATGTGTGTCTCACTGAGCTCCCACATCCTTCCCTTTCACAATCACAGTGGGATAATGAAAGTACCTATTTTGTTCCATTTGTTTCCATGGGTACCTGAGGCAGTAAGACAGATTTTCAGTTTCTTTCATTTTTTCTCCATCATTCCCGTTTTCTTTTCCTCTCTCCTCTCACTCATTTTTTCCTTTCCTCCCTTCCTGTCTTCTTAGCTGAAAAGAGTACTAAGATTTTTTTTTCCTAAAGGTTGTTCAAACATAAGCCTTCATTATGAAAAATACAAAGCATAAAACCAGAAAAAAAAAACCCTGAGATTAGTATCTGATGTGTTCAGCAGTTGAAATCAGCGATGGGTCCCAGAAATCAAACCATTCATTCAATAAATATTTAGTGAGTGCCTTCAAGGTGTCAGAGAATAAATGACTGCTTTTCTTCATGTTAACATTTTTTTTTTCTAGCCTTTTCCCTCTAGGCTCTTTTGAATAGTTTTCAAAACCTTGTAGGCCTTCATGCCTTCAGTGTGCATTGGTAGCTGTGGTCTTGTCTAGGAGCTTTAGTATGAGGGTATGAGGGTATTCTAGTAGTTCTTAAACACAAGCAGTTTAAAACAGGAACTAAAAAAATCTGCCTTTTTGTGAAAATAGTAACTTTCACATTAATATATATACACCACGTATTGTATGTAGTTAACTAACAAAATCAATAGCAAATTTTAGGAAAATATTTTTACATTGTAAAAGATTTTAGTAAACTTTGATGCTCTGCTAGGTACTAAAGCTTACTTAAAATGAAACTGTGTAAAAGGGCTATAAACATGAGTACTTGATTCTACAGAGCTTGAAAATTAAAAGTATTAAATATTGAATTTACTCCGTAAAAGCTTCCCTTTCTATTTCTTTTGATGACTGAATTTTACAAATGGTTATTAGTCTAGTTAAAGATAATTTAATAGTTTTATATTTCAATTCCATACACCTAAATAAATTATAAAAATATTAAATTGAAGGAAACAGCAAATAAAAATCTACTTTTTCTCTAAGCCAGCAGATGGAGATGTTGGAGAAAATATTGCTGTTTCATAAAACTGTTGCGCACACGGAATGCCTTTTAAAACATCGTAAACAAATTTATTTAGATAAACTGAAAAAAATGACATCTAATTGGAAGAAAATTATTCAAAATGCTATCTTAAAAATAACTTTCATTGCCTTTTAAAAATAGATTGCCGTATATTTTGTGTTTTAGAAGATAAAGACTGTTAGAAACAGAATAGATTGTAAATGCTCTTGGAAGATTCTAAAATTATATTTTTTCAACATTTTTAATCTCAGTTCCCCAGCTATCCTTTTCAAGCTGTATTTATTGTCATTAAACTTTAGTCACAAATTACTGAGATTTTGTATCTGTCTTCACAAAATTAATTGATGTTTGCTAAGCCTTTATTGCACTTGGATGAATGGACTTCTGTGTGTATGTATTTATAGTTATAGAGTGTGTGTAGTTACAGATTGGCTACACTAGCCTGTTTCGTCATGTTTTTGAGGTATTTACTAACACCTAGAGTTAGAGACTTTAATATATGCAAAATTTTCATAAAATAGACTCAAGTTGGACTTTCTTAAGC